ACGTGAACGAAGGTGATAGATTTATCATAAGAAATATAAGTTCCCAATGGGATGCTGAGTACATGATCTAACTCCTTTTCTCGCAAAGCTATGGCATATATAAGAAATACTGTTTTCGAACAATCAGAATCAACGTTACTAATCTGTGGGTAAGAGATGTTACTGGAATGTTGCTTGGATTAGAACCCGGTTCATAGCCTCATGGGATTGTTGAGAAAGTGCTCACTTCCTCCATTTCCATCTTGGATGTGTTATTATCCGGCAAGCGAACAATGAACTCGAATTTTCGGCAGGTACAGTGGATCTCATTGACTCAGGAGGTGTGGGATTTTTGGTGGTGACTGGATGGCTCACTAAATGACTCAGGGGGTCCAAAATTGATATTCTGGGTTGGAAGTCTCCCCCTGAATATCAATTTACGGGTAGTAAGCATCTGGGTTTCAAAAAATGTGAACATCCATGGAAGTGTAGATATCTTCCTAGTGACCGGAGTAGTAACACTTATACCGTTTCTGATGTGTACGAAATACCCAATGAGACACACTTGAAGCGACCGGCGATCAAGGTTTACTCGAAACTGTTGATGACTGAACAAAGCAGAACCCCGAAAATTTTGGGTGGATGGTGGAGATGAGGCGAGTAGTGGGAAGGATTTTAAGGAGAAGTTGACAGGAGTTTGAATTGTAGTACCTTAGATGCATCCTATTGATAAGATGGCAGCTGTAAGAACAGCTTCCCCCCGAAGAATTGTGAACATTTGTTGGAAAACATGAGTGATCTGACATCTAAAATGCTGGTTTTTTTTTTTTTTCCGTTCAGCGATGCGTTTTGTTGTGGGTGTGGTCAACACAGAACTTAAGTGAACTATCCCTTTGTCGCTAAAAAATCTCCTAGAATTGAGTTGAAATATAGTCCCGAGCGTTATCAGACTTTAGAATTTGGATTTTTGACTGGAATGTGTCTGAATCATAATTTGAAACATTTTTGAAGATTTGGCTCGTTTCAGTATTTGGTCTTTCATGAGGAAGACCCATGGTTAAGGTTAATCTAGTGTGATCATCTCATGAAAATGTGACAAACCCACCTAGTAGCAGTACATTTTTTATTCTGGATGGACCCGCAGATATCACTATGAATTAGTGAGAATGGACGAGACGCTTTAATATGGAATTGATGGGAAAATGGACCGTAACATGCTTGAAGAAATTGACAAGATTCACATCAAAAGGTTTTGGATTTTTATTAAATTTAATGAAGGAAATAAATGTGAGATACATAACATTAGGATGACCTTAAAGCGATAGTGCCACAAATACAATTGCTCTATCGTTATTTTTGACACGAACCGAAAAAGAACTACCAAAATTGCGTTTGAGGTTGTTCTTCGTGGATAGTGGCGGTTCCTATAAGGATGTAGAGTCCAGAGCATTCCTCAGCATTGACCAATCATCTTCCCGAATCAAATCTGAAATTCACAATGAGTGGAGAAAATAGTAACAACCTCTTTCCTTAGTGGAGTTTACTAATTACAATAATGTACAGTCCAAAGTCAGGAACAGGAGGAACAGAGTTGAGAATAAGATTCCTACGACAGCAAACTGAACTGTAAACCGGAACAACGCTTATGAAATAGTGAAAACCATCTGCTATTCGGACCGTTTAAATTTTTTGACATGAGTTAATATTGTATCAAAAATTGTTGCATTCCTGTCATATGAATCAGATGCTCCTGAGTCCACAATCCAAGGTTTTGTTACGTTTCTTACTACTGTAAAGGCGTTCAAAGAATTCCTTTTGTGAGCCAGGTTTCCGGATCCTATATGTGGTTGGAAGACAACCAGATTGTGACTGTAGTAGTTTCTGGACATCTCCATTTGCTCTCTTGGTGAAAGGGCTTGCTTCAGGTTGTGGTGATGGTTCAATTTGTACCTACATGATTACCTCGTCCTTCTTTTCTCAAGGCTGACCGTGGTTTCCAATCTACTGGCTTTCCATGAATCTTCCAGCAAGTTTCTCTCGAGTGACCCCGGCTTTCTGCAATGATCACACCAAGGCCTACCTCCTTTATTTTTCTGACGGTGTCGAGTAGGAAGCGAATTGAGTCTTAAGAGCCGAGCTTTCTGCCATATTCAGTTGTTGATTGAGATACATCATGAGTTTTTTCCGCTTTCCTTCGCGACGGACTTCAGAGAATGCCTCTCTAAGGTTAGGGAGCGGTTTTACTCTCCATAATTCTTCCTCTGATTTCATCAAGATTTGGTGTTCATCCTAACAAGAAATTTAAACACACGCCTTCCCTTCGACAATCTTTTTTATATAAGCAGACCATCAGTAACACACTGCCAGTTATGAACCTCAAACGTTAAGTTTGACGCCATAAGACGACGTAGGGTATTGAAACTATTCAGTTACCGTAAGATTGTCTTGACGTAATTGTGGAGGGCAGCTTTCAAGCTGATGATTTCAGAATGTGTTTTCCTTGTCTGAAAACGTTTCTTTTGCCATGTCCCAGATCTCTTTGGCAGTATCAATGACAGACAAATTTTCGCCATGTCAGAGGTCATAGAGCTTGACGAGCACGACATGACCATATTATTTTCAGCTATCCACTCTTTTGTAGGTTGATGCTGGTGGTTTCTGGTAGCGCGAGGCTCCGGTGATGTAGTCATCTTTTCTCCTTTCCCCCGTATAAACATTAACATGGATTGAGACATTGCAAATAATTTTGCCCATTCAGTTATGGGCAGTGATCGGAAAGAATGAGAGGTTTCCATTTGATGAGAGGATGAAGATGATGAGATGATTATCAGAAGAGAGGAGGATGAGTTGATAGTCATTCGAAGCTGGACCGTATTTAGTCATGCAATGAAGGATATATTTGAGTAGAAGAAAAATTCGAATATTGACTGAAGAGGCGAAAATGACCGAGACAGGATATACACTGCCTCTGATACCATGAAATATTAATATTGAGAGAGAGAGAGAGAGTGATTGAAAGACTAACATGACTCTTTATTTCAATCTCTTAAGCTTACAATGCTACTACTCCATTATATAGGAGGTTTATACAATATGATTAGATGGAGGCACGAGCCACGAGGCCCAAAAAACACAAACAAGCAGGCCACGAGGCCAACTACATATTAATCTATACATTAATATATTTACATATATATCAGCATACACTCTGTTTATTATTATAATAACTTAGCTTGATTAACGAACTCGAAAAGCATATGAAATAAATTATCACCGGAAGCATAATGAAATAAAGAAAGGGCTTGATGCATATGGCATCTGATGAAAACGTGGCTTGATTTTCAACAAAAACTTAATGTAATGACAAATTGCTGAGTGACATTCATTGATTTGCATTTAGCTCATTATTTCCATGTAGATGTAGATAACATCTCTCATTCCACTTCTATCACTTGGTAATTACAACTGCAATCTCATCTATAGTTGGTAGGTTATACCGTCGTCGATCTATCGATGAACTGTAGTGAGATAGGCAGGCAAATTTCGTCATGTTCAAGGCTAATTGATTCAAAATTGCAGTGAGCCTGGCGAAAATTTAAGCAACGAATGCATTAACGTAATAAACTATCTTGAATATAATTATTTTTACTTCAGTGTCAATATTTTAATATTTTTACTCTGTATTTAAAAGAATTAAAAAATATAATTTTATTTTTATTTTCTATCCTTGAACTTTTTTAAATATTTTATTATTTATTTTCAATGTAGTTAATCTGGTCAAACTAATGGTTAAAAAAAAAAAAAATATCACAAGGGTTTGACCTGGTAAAATAAATTCTAATTTTTTAATTATTTAAATATTAAAATTGATTCTAACAATTTATTTATAACAGAGAAGAGAAATTTAAATAATTAGATATTTTTTTCTTGATTAATTGATAGCTATCTTTTATTATTATCATCATTTATTATTATTCTCCTTCTTTCCTAACTCACTGTTGCCTTTCTACGTCTCTTTTTTTTTGGTTTCTGTGTTTAGCCCATTTCTCACCCTCATATGTCCCTAGCCCTCTGACTAGGTATCTTAAAACTAGGTTTTGCTTTGGTTTTTGAAAGACTTCATGGTTAAACAAGATCTCCTTTATATGTTTAGGATTTGCAATGGTTACTCTTGGTGTTGTGCCCATCCATTGAAAGTAATCTTTACCTGAAAGTTGTGGCCATTATTTGTCAGGGTGAGAAGAAAATGAAAGACTAGGTCTAATAAATAAAAAATTAGCAGAATACGATAACAAGTAAAAAAAGCTTTTTGTGTGTGTGTGAGTGTGTGTGTGTTTTGTTTTGTTTTGATTGGAACAAGTGAAATAAGCTTAAGAATCTTAATATTGATGATATAAATATTTGTCTTATATCCTCCCATAAGAATATGTAAACTTTTAAATTGGCTAATTGCTAAAATAGCTATATAATTTATTTATTTTTTTGGTTAATAGATAGGAGAGTGATAATAAATATGAGAAATATTTACATTATCAAACAAACCGCCCACAATAACTGAAAAGTCAACAAAACCTAACAACCAATAAATCAACTAGCCCTGGCTTAACACAACCACCACTAAGTACATAAGCCCCCATAATAGGGGAGAGATAAACCACCACAAAGAGTATCAAACTCCTTTCCATAGGAGTTGAACTCGAGACCACACATCATAAAAGATGTTACACAACCACTAGGCCAAATGCCTTACGGGATATAAATTAAACATTCAAGAATAGTTGGTTATTGCTAACATTTAGTCAAGACATGTTTATGCCCTTTTTAGAGAAGGGTGTTGCTTAAAGTATTTTATGTAGCCAAGGGTTTTAGTCTCTGTTTTCCTTGTTTATGAGCTGGTTGCTTTTTATGGGTCTTGTGTTTTGGTTTGCATCTTGCTAACTAGCTGCCTAATGTTTTTGGGATGCTCTATGTTTTTTTTGGGAATAAATAAGTAAATTTTATTAAAAAAGTACCAAGGCGATACAAGGAATACAAAAAACAAACAACCCACAGAAGGGCCAACAAAACTAAGTAAGCAAATCCTCTACAAAATTTATAAAAACAAAAACATCAGGATCAACCCAACTCATGACCCAACTGTTCAATACCAACAAAAGCCTATTCTCTAACATCCGGATGCTCTGTGCTTGCTATAGCTCTTATTTCGCTTCGGATCTTTCGTGTGAACTCTTGTTTTTCTTTATGGTTGAAACATTAATACATTTTCTTTTGTAGTATTTATGTTACTGCCACTAAAGAAGCCAGTGGTAGTGGTAGTGGTAGTGGAAGAGTAAAGCAACCTAGGTAATTTGCCCAAGCACGGTCTAAGTCCGCACCAAATTAAAAAATATATTGTTGAATCCTAAACAATTTTGAACTGGGCTGTGGTTTTCCAGATTGGCCAGCTCAAATTGCACTCTTTTTTGTTTCTATTCATTTCATTCCCTTCCATTCAAACATAGATTTTTTATTTTTTATTTTTTATTTTTTATAGCCAGAACACTCCCAAGGGAGGACCTTAGGATCCACCCTTACAAGCCAAATTGGGGAAGCTAGCCGATCGCAAACATAGTTTTGAATCTCCTCTTATCCAAAATCTTGTTTATTTATTTATTTTTATCAAACTAATTTCCATATTTTTTTATAAAAAGAAAAATTCACAAAACAAAATCTGAACCTCATATGGTTTTGAGGAGATAGATATGGATATACATACCATGAAGGTTGAGACAGTGATGGTAAGATGGTATGACGTGCGGGACAATATCGTCTGAGGACGCGTCCATGGGTTTGGATCTTGCTTCTTTCATCACCGATATCATCTCTTTCATGTCTCCGTACAACAACTTGTACGGATTTCCCTTGAATCCTTGCTCTCTCAACCTCTTCTCTATCTGCTTTGGCCTCCACCACACCCACTTCACCACCCTCCATGCGCATGTTAGCAAACTTACCAAAGCTACGGAGCCAACAATTGAGCTCACTGTCACTTCCATATTGAAGGGGGGAGGGAGAGAGAGAGTAACCACTACCACAAGACACCTTTATAATTTTGATGTCGCACAACAGGTATTTTAAATCATTGGATAAATCTATATAATAATGGGAGAATTGTTTTTGAATTTGTTCCAAAATGTATGAGAAATACATTTTAAATCAATGGGGTAAATCTTTTCAAACAAAAAATTAATGGATCAGATCATTTGTTTTTTCACCCATAAACTACTATTCTCTCTCCTTAAAATCTTTTTTCTATCATACATTACTCTTTCTCAAGGCATCTCCAATGGTTCAACAAAAATTTCATCAAATTTGAATAAAAATATGGCCAATTCCTCTATCTGATATTAGTCACTGTAATGGTGAACTACTATAACTTTCATCAAAACACAAGATATTCGGAGAGACGACTAGCCGGTTGACTGGCAAGAGCAAAATGATTTTTTTTTCCTTCCATTTCTGTTTCCCTCAATTCCTTTGCCATTTTTTTCCTCCTCCATTAAATCTTTTCCATTTCTTTTTACCTCCATTAATTATGGACTTCAAAAAACAGATATAAACAGATTAACCTATGACTCGCTTAACTTCTTATTTGTTCACTTCATTTTCATCCTTTTCTTCTTCCTCATCCTCTGATGATGAATGTGATGATGAAAAAATTGTGAAACTTTTGGGTTTTTATGAGATATACTGAGAAGTGATTCAGACAAACCAATAGGCATGCTCGCAACCTTTTACAAGAGCAGTTTCTTGAAGCACTATCTTATTCAAACAAATGGCAAAATTCCATGATGATTCTCACAACCCACTTGTTGACCCTTCCCCTCTGTACTCTACATTTTCCACTGAAAATCACAATCACTACATACGTAAACAAATCTCATCAACAAACAACAATAACCTTTAGGCTCTGTTTGATTGCTGAGAAAATGGATAAATTAAAGCAAGGGGAAAGAAAAGCTTCAAAACCCTAATCTTTCTCCTTAAAATTCCACTAAACTGAACCTAACCTAAGTATTCGACTCGATTGTTTTTTTCAAACCCAATTCTAGTTTATTAAAGAAAACTAGAAAAGAACATAAGAGATTCAAAGTTTTCATTTTCTCCCTTAATTTTTCTCAGGAACCAAACAAGATCTATGAGAAAGCAAACTTGTTCTTGGACCGACAGATTGTCGAGGTCATTGGTAAGCAGTTGACCCTTAATCTCAACGACGACTGCACTCACGTTGATATATATATATATAGCTCAAATGACAAAACAAAGTATCAGAGAGAAAAAGCAAAGGTTGTACAACTGAGAGCTTTTTAGAGAGAAATAAAGAAGTTGGTAAAGACAAAGAGAGGTTTGAAGAGAGAATCTATCGAATAATGCTTTGAGAGTGCTATGCCTACTGGTTCTGGGAATTATGCAGTTAACCAGATGGCCGGGGGTAACTAGCTGGACATCCAACCGATCGTCCGGTGGGTCCCGCCCCCAATGTTCACGCACAATAAACTGGTGAAAGCTTGGCCCAGGTCCTCAGTTTGGTAAAAGATTTGGGATGTCCTCAGTGAAAAGTTTTATGAAACATTGGAGACCAAAAAAGTATACTTTTTCATCAAATTTAAATTTGGTGATGGATTTGGTTAAACGTTGGAGATGACCTTACATCACAATTTTACCTCTTTACATCTATTTTCTCATTACACTATTAAAAAAATTGAAATTCTCATTACATCCTTTATAATACCAAAACTAACCCTAAAGTAAACCCTTTTCAAAATCCCTACAAATTTTTCTCATTACATATATTCCTTTAGAATTACTCTGATGTACCGAACAAACTATATTTATCCAATTATCTATTTTTCACACGTGTATTGATTCACTTTCCTTAAAACATTCACTTTGCTTGGTTATACTTTTCCAAAAACACTTTTCAAAAAATTCTACTTTCTTGTTTTTCGTAATTTTTTTTTTTGTTTTTGTTGAATTTTTTTTAATATTTTGAGTATTTTTTTTTTTACTTTTTAGACATACCTAACATAAATATACCTAAAAAGTAAAAAAATTGTGAAAAAAAACTTTTAAAAATTCACTAAATAGCAAAAATACAAAAAAAAAAAACGAGAATTCAGTACATTTTTTATATTTTTATGTATTTATTAATTTTTTAAAATATTTTTTCACAAATTTCTTACTTTTTAGATACATCTAAGTAAAGTGTATCTAAAAAAAATTTTAAAAAATATTTAAAATTTTAAAAATATTCACTAAAAACAAAAAAAAAAACACGAAAACCAAAAAATCTAGTTTTCAAAAAATTTAATTCAAAAAACTCAAACCATACTGATTATTTTTTTTTTAAAAAAATATGATGGGCCTGTTCGGTTATATATTGTCAAACAATTTGGATTATTCATGTGTCATATTGCCAAATAAACTAGATTTGTCCAACCATCTGTTGCCGTACGTTTGTAGAGTCACTTTCCTTAAAACATTAAGTATCCAAAAAAATATGAAGTGTACAGATATCTAAAAAAATATTCATAAAATCTGTCAATACAAATAATTTCAAATATGTCAATACAAATATTTATAAAAACACACTGAGATGTTATTATAATCCATTTATGTTGATAGTTTTGGTAGTTACTAAATTATAGTTGACAAGCTTACGAAATTTATCAATACGGACAGTATATACTTTCTTTCATTCATTAGAACATGGGTGATGAAAGTGCATCCAGTTATTTGCCATCGGAGGTTCTGGGTGACTAGGAAGCAGATAAAACTAACAAAGGTTATCTGTGTAGTCTATTAACAACGCGCTACTAACTTTACTGCAACGAGTAGAAGCATAATCCTATAAAACCAAAAAAATAAAAATGTCAAAAAAACAAAAGTAGAAATGTTTGCAGTGAGTTACAATACGTGTACTTTTTATTCGACAGTAGGTTACTAAATAAGTATTTTTGTTTGGTAGTGGGTTATCGGATATGCAGTTTTTGTTCAGAAGTGTGATTTCGGGCTATTTGATTTTGTTCAATTCTGGTATTATGTACAAAAGTTGAACAACTCTCTTTAAAAACCAATCAAAAACGTAAAAAATAAAGAAAAAAACTCACAATTTTACTTTTTTGCTAGTCCTTTACCACCATTTCTTCGCCTATTTCTTTTTTATTTTTATTTTTATTTTTTATCAAAACACTATAATTCTTACTTTTTGAAAGTAGATTTATAGTATAGAAGAAGAAATGAGAAAATAAGAAAAGAAGTAGGGATTGAAGTATAATAGGTGTAAAATTAAAGTGTAATGGGTGTAAAGAGAAAATAAAATCTATTTAATTTTTATCTTTTGTCCTTAAAGGTAATTTCACACATGGGTAAAATTACAAAAAATATATATATTTCAAATAGAGGGTGTAAAGAAATAAATGTGTTGTGTAAGTAGAATTTCCCTAACTTGAGTTTAGGAGACTTGTATTTCTTTCCCATTTTGCCCTCTTTTTTTTTTATAATATGTACCAATATTGGTGGTACTAATTTAAATAAAGGTTTTTTTTCGTAATTATGCACAAAATCTTGGATAGTTATGAAATATAAATATTTTTTTTTGGATAAATTAGAAATACGCCCATGAGTTTGTTTAAAATATGATATATATATATACTTATGCATAATAATAATAATAATAATAATAATAATAATAATAATAATAATAATAACTATTTTATGTAATAATAAAATTGTTAACATTATTGCTTATATCATTAAAAACTGTTAATTGACTTATTGATTTATATTTGAAATTAAAATATTAATATGTATAAAATATATAAAAATGCTTCATTTAAATTTTAGTGCCTATAATTTATAAAAAGTTAAGTTGTCAATGCTCTCACAAAAAAAAAGTACACAACTAATTAACTTAAATAACTTAATTAATTTACATTTTTTCATATAAACTTCTGCATTTTAAGAGCACATCCACTTGATACGTCAAATATGATGTGGCATTCTAACAATCATATTTTGATATCAACTATCAACTTCACCCGATGTGCCGAAAGCTGATGTGGTATTTGACATCAACCCTTCATGCCAATTTTGACGTGTTCCTATTTTATGCATCTTTAAAAAAATAAAAGAGATATTATGTAAAATAATAGAGTTGAAATTGAAAAAATAATAAAATAATAGATTTGACATATCGAGTGGAGAGCTTCCATATCCACCCACTCACCACCACCACCAGGTACCCACCACCCACCGTCACCACTTTCCACCACCCGCCACCCGCCACTGCCACCACCACCACCACCACCCATTCGCTACCACCCACCACCGTCACCCACCCACCCTCCACCACCAGCTACCCACCACCTACCGTCTTTCGCCGTCACTTGCCACCACCGTCTTTCACCGCCACTTGCCACTACTTGTCATTTTTCACTCTTTTTTATATTTTTTAAATTTTGTAAACATTTGTCAATTACCAAACGCGTTTATAGTTTATATTTTTCTAAAAATAAACAAAAATCAGTTTGTAAAATTTTTGTAAACATAAATCAAAAACGTAAACATTACCAAACACTACTTAGGAAATTCTATGCAGTATTTTTTTCATCTCCCCTAAACTATTTATCTCTCTTTTATGCGATTTTATATCGAAAATGACTGGTAGCTCGAAATTCGTGGCTCGATTTTGGCTCGAATGGCGTCGTTTTGCCATTCTTTTTTTTCTTTTTCTTTTTTTCTTCCTTTTCTTTCTCTTCCTTTTCTTTCTTTCTTTTCTTCTTCTTCTTCTTCGTTGAACACAGGCGAGAGAGAGCAAAGCAGAGGCGAGAGAGAAACAGAGCTCGTCGGACACAGCTCGTCGGCATCGTTGAACACAGCTCGTCGGTAGTGCAGCTCGTCGGCAGCTCGTCGCTCAGCCCCGTCTCCGCCTCTGCCTCTGCCCGCCGCCGCCTCCGCCTCCACCTCCGCCTCCACCTCCGATTTTGATGGCCCCCTCCAGTCCAATTCTTCTTCTCCTCCTTCTCTTCTTCTTCTTCTTCTTCTTCTTCTTCCTTCTTCTTCTTCTCTTCTTCCTCTTCTCTAAATTCGGGCCAAATTCGAGCCTCCGAATTCGAGGTATGAATCAGAGCCGTATGTTATATTGTCTTATTTGTTTAGAATTATAATAATTTTAGTATAATTACGTTTGTTATATTTTGCTCATAATCTATTACATTTATGAGTCAATTTATTTAATATAAAAAGTTCACTAATAATGTTTGCTATTAATTTTAGATTATAATTTATTTGACTTTTTTGTTTATTTATTTGGGAGATGAAAAAAATAGAGATTTCCTTAATCATTAAGTTATAAATTGTAATTTCTTAAATTTCTTTAAGACTCTAAATACATATAGATAAATAACTGTATCTTTTTTGCCTTAAATTTTTAGGACATGTTAGATATTTGAACAACAAAAGTTATGTGATTACCTTTTCTTTTTTGTTTTTTATACAAAATATGAAAAGTTACACTAAACAAATTTACAACTTATTTTAAATATTTCAAACTAATAATCTAAAAAATTAAAATCATAAAAATTAACTTATAAATTATACCAAATGGGGCCATTATGTGTCCATACTAGAAAGTTATTAAGTACTCCTAGAATATTACGTGTTCATACTCTTACATCAATTATTATGTAAGTTCGGAATATTACGTTTTTATACTCGTTTACCAATCATCATTAATCATACTTTTTCATAATTTTTAATCACCCAACACAAATAAAATTAGTTTGCAAACAAGTGGGTGGATTGTTGATATTTTTTTTTTGGCCTTCTCAACCATTGACGCAATAGATAAATAATTGACAAATTTTTGTAATCCCCTTGTTAATAGTATTTTCATATGATCTCTTAAGTATTAGGGACAAAACTTGTCCGCAGAATATTATATCATATAAATTATGTAAATGATATTTTAGTTTTGTTTAAAGATGTGCAAAGAAAAACACTGAAACCATCTCAAAATAGTAGCTTAAGAATTCATAAATAATGAATTAGTGCTATTTGAAAGGAAAATTGAATAAGAAAAAAATTTCATAAAAATAAATTATATAATGAACTAATTTAGGCCTCGTTTGGGAGAAAATTAATTTAGTAACTTTTTGGCTATTTAGTTAAAATATGAATTAAAAAAAATTAGTATGTTTGAGATGACTTTTTGAATTTTTACAAAAAGATGTACAAAAAATAGAGAGAAAAGAGAATCTTTGACTTTTTGGCATAACTTGTTGACTTTTTAATTTTTTTAGTAACTTTTTAATTTTTTGACTAAACCGGCGGCTAGTCCCCAAACGAGACTATTAAACTAAATTTTTTTTGGCATTAGATCAAATTATAATTACTTTTCAGAAGAGATGGTTAATTATTCCCAGCGATTCTATTCATTCTCCGGTCAATTCTCTTTCACTTTTTTGTTTTTGTTTTTATTTTTTTGTTTTTCAATCTTCCTATTATTTAATAAAAGGATAAATTACACAAATCTCCCTTGACTATTGTCCAAATTACAATGGGTCCCA